TGGGAAGGGCTAGGGAGATAGGAGATGGGGCCTGGGAGGAAGGGAAGTAGCAGCCGGAGGATGTGTGACTGTGCCCTTCACACCACCACAGGGGCAGAATCAGAGCTGCCGTTGCAATTTTCCTGTTCAGTGGGCACAGAACCCACAGGGCAACAGGGCAACAGGGCCACAAGGGAACTGTAGGTTCCCCTTGGCCAGTGGGCCCTGGAGGTAGGACTTACCGCTGCCAGGACTAAGGCACTGGATTAAGTGATGGAGGAACATTCTAGAAATGCCTTCTTCAAAATCCTGACCAAAGAGAAGAGACTCATGGTTTGTGTAAGGGTAGATAAAAGCCACTTTATTTAACATCAGGGGCTGAGATTAATTGATGGTAATAACAGCAATGGTCAGAACCGTAGCTGACCAAGTACTGGATGTTGGCGGCCCTAAGCCTTTGTGTGCATTAACTCGCTGGCTCCTCACAACAGCTCTATAAGGTTTTATCTGCAAGGACAGGGAGGTATCGGCAGGTTGAGAAGGGTGCCCTGGGTCACATGTCTGCAAAGACTTTTGAATGGTTGGAGAAGGGGCCACCAGAGTTCTGGGGCTAGGGCTTGTCCAGGAGGATCAGGGTCCCCTCTGAAGGGAGCAGGCTCCTCCCTGACCCAGCCTGGGTCCTCTTCCCTGCCCCGCTGAGTGGTGGCCTGAGGAGAGTCCTGGGTGGTCACCTCACCCTCTGTCTACCTTCCCTGAGCCCTTGGAGGACGCCAACGCAGGCGAACTGAAGGCATAGCTTTATTAAATAAATGCTTTGTCATGACAAAAGACAAAAATCAAGGAGTAACATAAATTATAAGTTGAATAAATAGTATACAGCAATCTTCACTTTTTAATAAAACGTGAGATCCTCCGTTTTTTTTTTTTTCTTTTTGTATTTATTTCCTTAAGTACAAAATGCTAACAGGAGCCGAGCTCTTCCGCATTCAGGTGATTTTTCCGGCTTTTGTTTTTGTTGATTTTTTTTAAGATCCTTTTCACCAGTCAAGATTATGAGCATTTATTTTATTTTTTTAAAATTGAAAACAAAAAAGAAGAGAGAACAGATCTATGGTATGTATGTATGTAAAACTATAAAGAACTACAGTAATACGTGCTGTGGCTATTGCTGTTTTCAAAAAAAGAAAAAAAAAACCCAAACAACCAGTAGGTAACTCGGAATCTGAAGGAATCTTGTCTGACAACTGTGCTATCCATGTGTGCTACCGTGTGGTGGTGGTGCAGATGGGGAACAGGCTGGTGACAGGGACCAGAGGGGCAGGGTGCTGGGGCTCCCTACCTTCCCTTTCCCCAGCCAAAAGGAGTTAGGAGAGGAGGCCAGAGTCTGTGGAATGGCTAACCTAGATGCTCCATTAGAAACCCAGGAAAGTATGTTTTAAAAAAGAAAACAAAAGCCTACAAGAAAAAAAAAAAGGTTAGAAACAGCGCAGAATAATTCTTGCACTTTAGTGGTTTTAAAAATACAGACAGTACAAGGCCCAGGGTGCTGGCCGGTAAACCCCCCATTCATTCCCTTGTCCCAGCATTCTGCAAAAGTGAGCCTCCTTTCTGCTGGAAGCCAAGCATTTGCCCTCCAAGACTAAAGGGTTTCTTCTCCTTGGCCTTCTCTCTGAAGGTCCCATCTGGGGCCAGGGCTGAGTAGATGTAGGGAGGATGGTGGTGGCCAGGGCACCATGGTGGGGTCAAGGTGTTGGGGCCCAGTTCTCCAGCTGTGGCCAGTCCAGTGGGGAGACCCAGAGGTGGGGGTGGAAAGCTGGTCATCAACACACGGGCCTCCCGGGTCTCTTGTTCCTACCTTCCTCCCGTGTGGGGCCAGGTGTTCCCAGGCCTGGCTGTCTAGGCCTGGCTGTCAGAGAAACTTTCTAGTCTCTTCCTTCCTGGTGCTCTGCTCTGCCCAGTGGGTCAGGGCAGGCTGAAGAAGGAGGGTCAGTCCTGGCTAGGCCTTCCTCAGCTTCCTGGCAGTCGTGGGGCAGACAGGGGTCTTTCTGCACTGCTGGAGTGAGGCGGGAGTCAGAAGTGGGAGGGAAGAGACCTTCCGCGGGCAGCCCTCAGACCCGGAGCTAGATAACCCAGAGTCCCAGGCCTCCAAGTGAGCAGACAGGTGGTCAAAGGCCAGCCTGGAGGCAAGGAGACCCCTGTTCAGGCCCGGACATATGCCCTTTTAAGGGGAGGAGCTGCCGTCTTCCTTTGTGGCTCCTTTCCCGGGACAACCAGACCTCCATTTGGGAGGCTCAGTCTCATCTGTCCATGAAGGTCCAACTTGTCTAGGGAATGAGCAGCTGCCCAGAGGCACTTCTGTAAGTAGTGGAGACACACAGGTTCGGGTTAGCAGGCATGAATGTCTGGCGGAGGTCACCCGGGCTGTGATCCCCCCACCTTTGATAACAGCAAAGGGCCAGCGACCTGCTCAGAGTCCAGCACACAGTGGGGGGAAGAGACAGCTCCTCTTGGGAATCCAGTCCAGCCCTGGGAAGGGGAGCGGGGTTTTGCAGTGCCTGGCTCAGTCTTTTCTTAGGGGGAGTGGTACCCCAGTATCCACATGGCAGATCCCAGTAAGAAAACTGCTCAAGGTCCAGAGAAAGAAGGGGCAGAAAGAAGAGTGACGTGGAAAAGGTTTAGGGTACTGGCCTAAGACATGCAGAAATGTAAGTCAGGGCTTGTGGAAGTCGAGCAGAGAGATGGGGTGCTCTGACTTTGCAGGTCAAGAAAGTCCTCACGGCTGCCGGCCCCACCGGGCCCTTTGTCTCTGGGAGCCTGGGCACCCCTCCCATGTTTAACCAACTTCTGTCCCCACTGTCTGTTGGGGGAGCAGGAGACAGTCCGAGGTGCACAGCTGTGCCTGTGCCAAAAGTGGGAATCTATTCGCTTCCTCAGTGTTCCTCTTCTTGATATATTTTCTTCTTTGCTGCCCCAAGTTCGGTGCTGGAGGCGGTCTCCACTGTGCCGTGCAGTCAGGAAAGAATGGGAGAGCTGTGTCCTTAACAAGAAAGGGTCTCCTTTGCCAGTGTCCAAGCCCCTTTCCCTGGCAGGTTATCTTCAGCCTCATGGGACGGTCGGAGGCCACCCACTGGCTGAGGAAGTCAGTGGAGAATAGAACTTATCTTGGTTCAGAATTTGGCTGCCAAATGACAGACAGCTCCCCCCAAGCACATTTCCTGGCTGTCCTGGGCCTCTTTTCCATCTGCCACCCTGGAGAGGGAGCAGGGACTGGCCAGCATAGGGGAAGAGCTTGAAGGATTCTTTGGCCTCCATCCCTCATCGTGGCTGAAGGTGGGCATCAGGCACTTCACAGGCACGACCAATGTCCACTGATCCTTGTTCCCATCCAACTTCCAAGGTCTAGGACCCACCTACAGTTCCCGCCTTCCCTTGCTCTGTGGCCTGGCTCAAGCTCATTTCTGTGTCATGACCCATTCCCCCATTTTCCTCCCTCCTTCTTCTTGAACCCCAGAAGGCATATGGGGTGGGGGGAGCCAAGGAGACATCTACTGGCATTTCCTGCTTTCTGCTGCTTTGCTCCAAAGCTAGGATGGGGCAATTGGTCCCCATCCCTCCAGCTCTCCAGCCCGTCTCCTCTGCCCCGAACGGTCCGGTTTACTGTTTCCCTGCCTGTGAAACCTTTCGCCACCATCTTCCGCTTGGCCCTCTAATTTTAGTTTCTCTCCTGCTCTGCCAGGGTGGAGACTGAGGGAAACTCCCAGAACTCAGGTCCTGCCTCGATGAAGTGAAAGGGCCAGGGTGGGATCAGGGGGACCTGTTGGGCTCATCTGGTGCGGTGTCCAGACACAGCTGCTTCCTTAGGGTTTAAGGACTAATTTGGGACGTATGGGGGAGCATGGTGTCCATCTGGTGCTGGCCTTACCTGGCGGGGTGGTTATATGTGAACACCTGTGGGGAGTCACCATCAAACCCCACAGTAGGCCCCCCAAAAAGCTGAGTTTGCTGCTCATGGGAGCCCTGGCTAGAGGCAGGCAAACTGCATAAAGGTTTGTGTTGGGGAATGTGGGTCTTCTCAGTTTCCCCAGAATGAGAAAGCTCCTCAGCACCCCACACAGCTACTCTGCGGAGTTAACGCAAGCCTTTGGAAGGAAGGAAGGAAGGAAGAAAAGAAAGAAAGGTAATAGATTTATACGCCTATATATGACTATAGCAGTCTTGTAGATAAATATAAGCCCACTAGTTTTTCAGCCTATCCTCCCCCACAGAGGCTGCTGTGCCAGTTGGGAATTGAATGAAATGAGGGCTGAAACCACAGCTTCGGCATGTTTGGTTTTTTTAAGTCCCCCTGGAAAAACAAGTCTTTCCAACGTTGGGGTGTGTGCTGATTTCTAAGAGTCTGCATGGGGTGTGACCATGCACACGTACTCAACGCTCATGTCTCTGCTTAGGAAAACCTCGCCGCTGCCTACTGTCGCTGTTACGAATTTGTTTTGTTTTCAGAGGAATGGAATGCATTTTCGTCTTCATAAATTTGGGGAAGAGACAACACTCTGTCGGGGTAAGGCTAGGGGTCGAGCTGTCCACACCGCTGGCCGGAGGAGAGATCTGGGAGAGACCCTGGCGCGTCAAGTCTTTTCTCCCCCTGACCAATCCAACCTGGGAAAACTCCAAGGGTGTCACCAAATACCACCTCTTAGGCTCCGCCTTCTGCTGTCCAAACCTCTCCTGACCCCAGGCCAGGGCTGGATGAGAGATGGGCCCTGCCCCAGCCCCTGCACCTTTCCTTCCTGCCTCGCGGGTCCTTCCTTTTCATAACCCCACTCATCCGTCCTCTTTCCCACACAAACACTTTCTTCCCTTCTCTCCCTCTTCTCCTCTCTTTCCTTCTCTGTTCATCCAACTTGCCTCAAAAAGAAAGCCATTTTAAAGGGGGGTGTGTGTGTCTCCTTAGCTTTTTGCATCTGTCTCTGTTGTTGCCATTTTCAAAGTTGAGCCCTTGCTAGAGATTCCGAGGTCCTCAGTTTCCTCACATAGATATATACGTATATTCTTTTCCCTTAAATGAGATGAAATGAGTGGCGTCCGGGGGTGGAGGGAGTCGCTGGCTGGAGTTGGGGCTGGGGGTGGGTGGGGGTGAGGGGGAGCGGGGAGGGGACGCATCACTCAACATTGCTACTGTCGAAGGTGTGGCACTGAAAGTCCCCGTCCACGTACTCCATGCCCGGCAGCTTCATGCCGTACTTGTCCACGCACCAGCAGATGCCACGCTTGCGGCCGCGGGAAGGCTTGCACTGGGGTGGGCAGAGCAACGGGAGGTGAGGACGCTGTCCGCTGAGCCTGGCTCCTGCCCACCCTGCCTCCTCCCCATCCCAAGATGGACTCTCATCCCCAGCGAGCTGAGGGGCCAGACCCAACCCTGGGGTTCTGCCATCCCCATTGCATGAAGGCCTGGGGGGAAAATGTGAATTTAGGCAGCCTGCCCTTGGTTAGCCCCTACCATCTTTCTCTCTCTCTCTCCTTTTTCTTTTTGAGACAGCATTTTACTCTGTCACCCAGGCTAGAGGGCAGTGGTGTAATCATAGTTCACTGTAGCTTCAAACTCCCAGGCTCAAGTAATCATCCTACTTCAGCATCCCGAGTTGCTGGGACTCTAGGCAGGTGCCATCACACCTAGCTAATTATTTTTTTGTAGAGGCAGGGTCTCACTATGTTGCCCAAGCTGGTCTTTAACTCCTGGTCTCAAGTGATCCTCCCACCTTGGCCTCCCAACTTGCTGGGATTTGAGGCATGAGCCACCATGCCTGCCATGATCTTTTTAAAATGTTATCCACTTTAGTTCCTCCCACTTGGTTCTCTCCAGGGATTCTCAAGAGAGTTTCATGATCTGATAATAATAATAGTGATGGTAATAATAATAGGTGGCACCCCCTGTGTAGCTTTATGAGACAATTCTCTACGTAGTGTCGGGAATGTTATTCCTCATCCTCTGTGAGGTAGGCACAGTTATTCTCTGGAGACACAGAGACAATAAATGACTGGGGCAAGAGGACAGGCCCGTAAGTGGCAGAGCTAAGACTGACCCCAAGGCAGTTTGGCTTTTTAGATTGGTGGGGCCCTTAAGTTGGTATCAGGAAATGCAAAGTCCTAGAATCTACCCTAGACCCACTGGGGGTGGTAGGGCCCAGCTGCCAGCTGCTTTAACAAGCCCCCAGGTGGTGGCGTTTGAGAGCTGTCACTCAAGGCTAGCCTGGCTGTGAAGGGGTGTGATGGTTTCGGGTGGTGTCCAAAGAAAACAGGTCTTAAAGCCACGTGTGTGTGAATGTGCTGTGTGTGTACACTGGAAAGGAATTGAAGGAGCACAAAGGACGTGTGTGTGTGTGTGTGTGTGTGTGTGTGAGAGAGATACAGTGTTACCAACGAGCACAAGTGGAGAAAGTGAATCTGTGGAAAGCTAAGTAGATTATGGCATCGGAGGGAATCGGGAAAATCATGGCTGTGGCATGTGAACAGGTATTTGAGGTTTAGGAAACACTAAATTGTTAATGGTGGAAATCTCAGGTGCTTGCCTGAGTGGAGTTACCAGGCAGGTGCCATTTGGGGAGTCATCAGAACCTGGGAGCCTGGGCCGGGGCTGTACCTGCTTTCTCTTGTAGAATCCCTTGCGGTCACAGTTGGGCAGGTACACGGCGCGGGGTACCATGCGTGGGCTGGCTTTGAGCTCCTGCAGGGAGGCCTCCATGTGTCTGCGGCAGGGACCCTGTGTGGACAGGAGGGTGAGGGAGTGGCAGGACCAAGCGGAACCACCCCATGTGCAGACCCACGATCTTTCCTCCCTCTCCCCTGTCCTGTGCCCCGGAGTGTGCAAAGCCCGCATGTGGCCAAGGATAGAGCTGTATTTACCTGTGAGTCTTACAGGCCAGCCATCCTCAGCTTTTCTGTTCTGATGGAGACCAGAGGTGCCTCTGGATGCTCTATGCTGTGTCTGCCAAGGCCTGTACACTGCTCCATCCAGGGCTCACGTGCCCTGCATGTGCTCAGGATGCTGGCAGGCACTTTCCCGGAACGAATACTACTTCTATTTCCACTCACTTGGACAAGCTCTCTGTCCTGACAAATGCAAGCTCTGAAAGTTCTCCTAAGCTGAGACACCTGCTTCCTTTACCAGGTCTAGCCTAAACACCTCCAGCTGTCTGGAATGCCCATTTAGATGAAGGGCAAAAGCCCCAAAGCCAGGCAGTGGCAGAGGCGGGAGACAGGGGCGGGGTGAACACTGAGACGCACCTGTTCAGATTCCTGTCTCATCTCAGGTGCAGAGATGACCCTGGGGTGGGCGGTGTTCTCGGCTCCCCCAACAAACTTGGACTGGGTCAGCTTCTTTCTGCGGTCCTTCTTCACTGCCTCGGCCTTCAGCTCCGAGATGCGGGTGTGCTTGGGCCGGAAGATCTTGGGGGAGTAGGTCTCCTCGGCCATCTCGGAGGTGGTTGGCTCCTCATGCTCACGAGAGTCTCTCTCTGCAGGGAGAAGTGGCTGAGGGTCAGCTGCCTGCATGTGGGGCCTGGGACTGCGAGGTCTGGGTGGGGGAAGTGACACAGGCAGAAACAGGCTTTTCACCCTCTGGGAGCTCTGCAGACTGGGGAAGGCCAGGAAATGAGAACCCGGAAGAAGAGTTGATATGCTCAGGAAGGTGGTAAGAAGTTCCTGGCATTCCTGCAGTTGAGCAGAGTGTAGGGAGGAAGACTCTGCTCGGAGAAGGAGAATATTGGAAGATTGATAGATGAGGAAGGTGTGGCAGGAGGGAGAGGACACTCTGGGGCTGGAAGGTGGAAGGTCGAGAAGAGTGGCCCAGGGAAGGGTGAAGGTGGTGGTAAACAGCTTGCTTGCTGGGGGCCTGGAGATCCAGGCTCCTAGGAGAAGACAGGGCACAGCAGGGGACGGGTCTCTGCACTTTTAGAACTGATGGGCATTGAGGTATATTTGGACCTGGGACCCTGGGGGGGGGGTCCCAGGGCCTGGAGCAGAAGGGTGGTGGGGCCATTGTGAAGCATAAGATGAGGGGGCTAGGAGACAGAAAAGCCAGACTGTGCGTTCAGTGGGAAATAGCACAGGGGCATGTGGGATCCACAGGTCTCACTCCCACTCTGGCTCAGACCTGGCAGCAAGCTCGGGCCTGAGGCTGGCATGTTGCTCAGCTCCAGCCTGAGAGAGGCCAGCAGCTGGCTGGGCTGGGCAGTTATATATAGGAGTGAGTTGGTGACAGTCTATACTTAGCTGACCATTGACCTTTAGAGAAGCAGGACTTTTTTCATGTATTTGTTGACCCTCAATTCTACCTGCCTGGCCTCTTCTTGGTCCATAGATTTCCACTCAGTTCCTGTCCCACAGACACCTTTCTCTGGGTCCCTTTCTCCTCTCAGTTTGGTTGCCCCCCAGCCTCAGCAGACCCAGAGTGGGGGGAGACCTTTGCTGCTCACAGGTGGGCAGGGTGTGGTGGGGTGCAGGGATGAGCAGGAGTTGTTCCTTGAAAAAGAAAACGAGACTTGGGGTGATCCAAACTCCTAATATGGGGTGAAGGAAACTCCTACTCTCCAGCCCCTCCACTATTCCGGGGAAGGGTGATAGCACCTGGGATGGGAAGTCAAGGAAGGGGAAGAATTCAAGGAGGGGGGTGGTGGGGAAGGAGAAGCTTTTTGTGAAGACACCGTCTCACGCCCCTGGAGACTTTCTAGGTATGAGCTGGGAAGGCTTTTGCAGACCCGACCCTACCCGGCCAGGGTGGCAGGCAACGCCCAGCCACCTGCTTCTGTCTTGGCTCAGGATTTGTGAAGTTTAATGAACTTCAATTATCTGGACTTTAAGGCTTTGGTAGGGAAGTTTCCTGCCCTGAAGAAGCTTCCAAGGCTTCGCAGTGTTCCTGGAGGGTAGTTGCTTTGGATATGATTGACAGGACGGGAAGGGAGGTGCTCACTGGCGAGGAGGATGACAATGAGGAGGAAGCAGACGGCAAAGACAGACTCTGCCTGAAAGAAGTTCAGCACCAGGATCCTGGTGTCCCCGTTGGGGCTTTGAGCCCTCAACCCCTAAGGTGCCTGGTAGGTGGGTGATGTATTGGGTAAACCACCTTTTCTTGGTTGTGAGATAAGTTAGATTGATAGGGAGATTTAGGGGGAGCATGGCTGGTTTGGAGACACTGTGCATTGGAACTCTGTTATCTGGTAATGAGCCCAGCTCAAGGCTCAGGTCCTGGGGTTGGGGGGAGTGAGGAGAGGGAGAGCTAACCATGGGCCTCGCATCTTATTCAAGGGCTCGAGACAACCAGCTTCTTGAGGCATCGTCAAATGTTCTGACCCTCAGAAGATAGTTGGCTGGGCCAGGGGAGATGACGAGGGATGGTGGCCATTGACAGCCAGGAGATGTCCTGGGGTACATGGCCCAATTCCTTCCTCAAACAAGATAAATAAGATTGTAACCGGATAAAGTAAGGGCTGCTGACCAGGGTGTGGAAGAAAGATGAGTGTGTCCTCCGGTGGACTGCTCCAGCCTGACCTGGGGAGCCAGCATGCTTTCACCTCTACAAGGGGGGAGAGGCTGGGCGGCTGCCTTGCCCCAGTGGCTGTCTTAACTCCTGGAGTCCTTTCCAAAGGTCAACTAGCCCTTCCCTGTGTCCACGCAGAAATGATTATACACCCCTATCTCATTGGTGCTCTTTCTAGTTCCTAAAGACATCTGGGATGGGGATGCCACCCCATCTTCTTCTGGCCACCTTTTGGGGGGGGGGGTTGGAGGGCTCCGTTGCTTTTGTCAGAGGGTGCCGTTCTCCAACTGTCATTTCAGTTTGTTCTCCTTCTTTGGCCTTGGCAGATGCAGAAGCACGGTGCCCACAGCCTTGCCTGTATCAGCAGCTCCTCTCAGGACCCTTCATCTTTGGGACTCTTTCTAAGAAGCACTTATTGAGTCACCCTTCCTGGGAGGATGGGACTATTAGCAATGGTCCAGTCAACCTTGTGGCAAATTTATTTTTACTTCTCTTATTCTTTTCTTTGAAAATGTTGAAGTCCTAGGGCCAAACAATGACACTAGGGAGAAAAGGAATGTTCTAGTATATTCTGGTATCTTTCTTAATTTGAGAGACTTAGAAAACTTTTGTAAACCCTCTCTCCTTTTCCTGGTCTCCTGAGGGCAGACCCCCTGCCCCCAGTCTGTAGGCTCTTTGGCTGCTTCTGAAGGGCAGGCTTAAAGTTTTGATGTGTTTCCTGGGTCCTGGTGCCACTTAACCCCATGAGACCTATTGCTTAGGCAGCAGGAGAGTCCAGTATCAAAGATACTAATCAGGGTCTTGTGGTCACCTGTAGGCTCCAGAGAGACAGTGGAAACTTGGATAGGAACCAGTGCAGAGCCACGAAGATTAAAGTGCTGGAAAGTAAGCCTGGAGGAAAGATGCCAGAGCCAGCCAGCCCCACTTAGCTGCCCTGTGGCTGAGTCCCAAACAGGCTTTCAATTTTGGAAGAGTTTAAGTTTTAGATAAAGCAAGAAGGCACAAGTAGACTGGCTACTCCAGAACTATTGCATCAAGAGATGATGAACTCAGGTTGCAGAAGGGATTTTGGGTGGGGTACGAGGGAGGACTTCCTGGTGAGGATTGCACTGCACGTTATGCAGCAGGCCCTGGAACCTGTTTTACAAAAAGGTCAGTACCCCCAGATGGCCAATAGATGGCGCAGGAGACTGATGTCCACGCATAGGCGCTCATTTCTAGGGACCGTAAGCTTTTTTGAAACCTGGAAGTGTGTATCTCTCTTCCACTTTCCTGGCAATCACCAAAATCCTTTCCCTCTCTTTCCTGCATTTAGAGTCAGGTAGACGAACAAGCGAGACCTAGGACCCTGTAGGCGGGAGAGTGGAGGGCAGGAGTGGGGAACAAGGCTTATTTGCATTCTGTAATCTGCAACTGGAGAACCGCCCAGGAAGGAAAGGAAACATATCCCAGAGCTCCCTGCCTATCTCGAGATGCCATTCTCAGAGGAGTCTGCATGGGATGGGAAACGGGAACGCTTTTCCTCCCCCGGAAGCTATGGAGGCAGAGCCTTTAATTTCATGACCCTATCCAATGATTAAGAGGGCACTATCATATCATTTTGATACAGTATTACCTTTTGGGTGGGATCTGAGTCTACTCTGGCTTCTACCCCGCCCCTTCCAAAAATCTGTCTAATACCTCTAGCCCCTGCCACGTCCTGCCATGTTAGGGTGGCCAACTAAGCTTCTCCTGTCATAAGTTGTTTGCTTATGAAAACGCGTGTGTAGCAACATCTATAAAGATCCTCTCCCCATAGCAGCGTGAACACGTGCTTGAGGGCTGCGCCATCCTCCACGACCCAGTAAATGCAGAGGGTGCCTGGCTGCAGGCTCAGCTGCTGGGGACCCAGTGGCATCCTGGGGTGAGCTGCGGTACACACAGAACAATTGCACAATGCATGTACCCTGCCCCAACTGGGCCACTTGCTCCAACACGCCCTCTTGTGGCTGCGTGTGCTCTCACAAGGGGAAAATGCTGGGCCGTCAGAGGTAGGCACTGGCTCCTCAGAAGCATTCCGACGCCACCTTGCTTCCAATGGATAGGTCAAGGTAGGGACCTGCAGCTGCCAGAAATCCCACCTCCCACCCTGGGCTCTTAGTCACACCCTGGCACCATCAACAGCCTGTTCTTGGGCTGTTGTCAGTTTCTCACTCTATCTTGCTTGACCTCATAATCAAACATAAGAGAAAACTGGGTGGCCCAGATATTATGATTTGACTTAGAAAAATTGAAGAAACTGAGGCATACTTGAACTTCACAGCCCAGGAAGGGCGTTGGCCGACCACCAGGACCTGGGGAGGTTCTCTAGTCTCTTTGTCTATCCAGAAGCCAAAATGGAGATGTCCAAAATCTCTCTACAAGGAATGAAAAAAGGAGTTGGCTTCTGTTCTAGCTCCCTGTGTGGGGTTTAAACAATAAACTTCTTAAGGGCAGAGCTTTGCCATTTATCTCCATCTCTTCAGGAAATCAAATGACATCCAAGAAATAATCTTTAAATAAAGAATTATGTGCAAATTTGCCCAAGAGGCAAAGAGAAGTGGGTCTATAAGTATTTCTGTAGTATAAGTGGGGGCAAGTTAGAGCCCGGTAGATGCCTCGGGAGGTCTTTTCATCCAGGCCCCTTCTGCTGCAGAAGGGCGCAGCAGGCAGCAGAGGGACAACCTGGCAGTAGGGAGCCCTAGGTACACTGGGCTTCTGTTTGACCTAAGGCTGTGCTGTCTAATGTAGCATCTGCTAGCCAATGTGGTTACTGAAATTAATAAGAAATTCAGTTCCTCAGTCACTCTAGCCAGATCACAAGTGCTCCATAACCACATGTGACTATTGGGCAGTAGGTTGGACGGCGTAGATCCAGAACATTTCCATCGCCACAGAGCGTTCTACCGGTCTGTGCCTTAGCATAACTGAAAACAGCAAGGCCCCCACAGTGCTCCTCAG